CCACCCTAAGAGAAATTTCAAATTGTTCAATACCAACTATATAGTAAAGCAAACTCACGGGACACGTAAATGGCAGACTGATGATATAAGAAATCATACAAATAACTATGACAACATAGGTACGACGTCTTCGCAACGATGGAAACAGTTCGACAATAGCAGTTACCGGTACATCAGTGAGGACAAACTACAAAATGACATATGATTGTATGCATATGATTGTGAGACTATAAATTCACTTGTGAACCGAGTCCGAGTGCGAGGATCATCAAAAAGAAGATGACAGAAAAGAAAGGACTGGCTGACATCTTTGAAAGCGCTTCAGGATAGGTAATAAATGCTAAGCCAGGACCTGAAGATTGGGCATATTTCGATACTGCTTCATCCAATGTTTTGGCCAGAAATCCAACGGGAGCAAACACTGAAAAACCAGCGAAAACACCCGTAAAACAGTCACATGATACCACAATACACATTTGACTATCAACGATCAGATGAGAATAACACATCGAGAGAACAAAAATGTACACTTACTGAAAAAAATTATTCTTGAATTTGTTAGCTGATGCATATGCCATAAGTGAACCGAAACCGATACCGAGAGAGAATCACACTTGAGCGGCAGCTGCTTGCCATATCTAAGTGATTTAACTTATATGTAGGACTTTTCCATCCTCATGTCGAACAATTTTTGTTTTCTTCTGTTTAATTCCTATTGAGCAGATGATCACTACTCTGCGGATGAAAATAAGTAACAGAAGGAAAATCCAAGTTATTGATATATTTAGATCCATGTCTATTTTTGTGATTCAATATTGAAACTGTGTCTCAAAACTGAGAAATATGAAGGCAAAATGCTGAATATTGTAAAACCAACAACATAATGAAAATATTGGGCTTTTCTCGATATTGTGCTAAATGTCATTCTCGTTTCTATTAGTAAGTTGTTTTACAAAAGCACCTTAAAATGGTCAACGAGTTCCCATTTTGAAATAATATAGAATTTTATTCCATCGACTGCTCCTTCGAGTGTTGCACTGTAAATGATGAGCACAAGAAGAACCATATACGGGAAAGTAGCAGTAAAATATGCGACCTAAGTGAATAAAGTGAAAGTGAACGGTGAGAAGGAGCGATGAAGTACTTTGTCGGATGATTGGATACCACGAATAATGCATAAACAGATAACAATCCAGGCAATTAGTAATGATACCGCCATGCAAACGCATGGAGTGCCGAAATCTTCGAAACTCGAACTCTTATTCAAGAGAAAATGGCTAAAATATGAATGTGCTTTCGAATGTATGGAATCTAAGTAATCATAAGAGAGCACTCATGACATCAGAGAGAAACCAAAGAAATTGTAAAAATACACTTTTTTGATTTGAGATGCAGATCGAAATCAGCTTCATCTGAATTCTTTAAATCTTAACTTTTACCGTCTTCGGATGAGTTGATGAAAATTTATACTAACCGGACTTCCAACATCTCTGTAACTTTGACATGAAAATGTTTCCATAAGATTGAGTCATCTAGGTCAGTAGTAAATCGATAAAAATTTTTGTACAATAGACCAGGTAATACAACATCAAAAACTGAACAATCTGAGCTATTTAGGTATTCGATTGTAGATACTGACTCAATTTGTTTTAAGCACGCTAGTTGCTGTGCAATCGCATATGTTGTGTAACTACAAAAATTTTGATAAATTTACTACCGAGCTAGATGACTCAATCTTATGGAATCATTTTCATGTCAAAGTTACAGAGATGTCGAAAGTTCGGTTAGTTTAAATTTTCATCAAACTCAACCAAAGACTTTAAAAGGTTAAATTTAAAGATTTCAGATGATGCTGATTCCGATGTGCATTTCAAATCAAAAGAGGAAAACGTGATCAGTTTCCCTTTTGCTGGGACTGTCCTCGATTTTCTCATGAAGACTCTTAATCAATCGAAATAGAAAAGGCCAATGAGACATGGTACCTTTTGAAGATACAAATAACAGAGACAAATTACTAAAAGAATTCCTCCGTCGCTGTGACTTTTTCAGTCGTATTCATCTCTGTACATCGGTAATCAGAGAGATTGACGTATTCGGTGCAAGGGGGAAAAAGCGGATCCCGGGATCTATTGGGATTCAGTGCGATCCAGTGGGATCCGTCGGGATTTATCAGGATCCACTGACATTTATTAAGATAAACTGCATTCTGAAGAATTTACAAGAAAAAAAGTACATTAAGGAGTATCATATTATAAAAAATTATAAATGAAAACATGAGGTAGAAGAGCTGCAATGGTCATTATGTCATGTGTTCATAAGTCTTACTTATATATGTAATATTTTCTAGTCTTCGATTACTAAGAAAAGATATTACCACCTCTTAGCAGATGGGAAAAAACCATCAATACATTCAGTTATACATGCTGTTTTATAACTATCCATGGCAGGGGTTTAAGTCAGCTCTTGAGGCATGGGTGGGGAGCGTAATATCATCGTCATGGTCACTTGTACCATGTGCTATAGATAGACAGACAGACCGACAGGCAGACAGACAGGTGAATTTCGATTTCTAGACCATATCCTTTCAGTCAAGGTAAAGTTTCTGTCTAAATTATAGTCTCTCTTTATAGCTCTGTTAAATTATATATTAATGCTGCTGTTAAAAACAAAAAAAATTATATCATTTGAAAGTCGCTCATACACCGCAATCTTAACTTCACAATTAACACTAAATATAGCAAAAACATCTGGTACATTGAAGCGTTCTAATATTTGTAATTAATTAGAATTTCATTAACTTCAAGTCATCGACACCTTAACAATATTAAATAAATTTGTAACATTGATCTTTTGAGAAGAAAATGGCTTCATCAGGTAAATTATCTAAGTCGATAGTCATTACATATATATTGTACTTATTGGAGAAGAATATAGGTGTATTCGACAGAAATAATGTTATTGTGACAGATAATTGTGATTTATGCAACGATTAGAAACGGTGAAATAAAAAAGGAAGCGCACTAAACTTTATTGTGCTAGTCTCAATCAAAACCTTAATCGTTTTTTCACTTATCTCAACATGAACTCTGATTGAATAACGTGAAATATATTGATGAAGTACTCGATCTTCCGCACTTTTTTTGTCAGAATAAAATTTCACTTTTATGTATTATATATGATTCTTATTATCTAACATGTTTTAGCTTTTCGTTCAGCAACAATAAACTTTAAAACAACATTCTACAAGGGACTCATAATTCTGAGAATCTGTCTTCTAATGATAATAGTGAGAAAAAACACTTACAGAACCTATCGAAAAATAAAATTCCTGACTGCATCAGATCTTAATCGACACCCACACCCAGTCAAGCAAGAGAAATTGGAAGTTAATACGGTCTCAAAAACACTTGGAAACATTCATTAGGATCCAGTAGGGATCCACCGGGATCCAGTGGGATCCAGCGGGATCCATCGGGATCCAGTGGGATCCATCGGGATCCAGTGGGATCCATCGGAATCCAGTGGGATCCATCGGAATCCAGTGGGATCCATCGGAATCCAGTGGGATCCATCGGAATCCAGTGGGATCCATCGGGATCCAGTGGGATCCATCGGGATCCAGTGGGATCCAGTGGGATCCAGTGGGATCCAGTGGGATCCATCGGGATCCAGTGGGATCCATCGGGATCCAGTGGGATCCAGTGGGATCCAGTGGGATCCAGTGGGATCCAGCGGGATCCAGTGGGATCCATCGGGATCCAGTGGGATCCAGCGGGATCCACAGGATCCATCGGGATCTGCAGGATCCTGGGATCCGGGATCCGCTTTTTCCCCCTTGGTTATTTAAGTATGCACGCAGAAGAATGAGAGAATTAGGAGAGAAAGAAGGAGGAGAGAATTAGGAGAGAATTAGGAGAGACAGAAAGAGAAGAGAATTAGCAGAGAATTAGGAGAGAAAGAAGGAGGGGAGAATTAGGAGTGAAAGAAGGAGGAGAGAAAAGGAAGAGATTGGTAACTGATGGATTATTATGCGGCGTAACGGTGTCTTGGTAAGGTTGTTTCCATTCGCCCTTAAGCTTTTATCCATGTTTATTGTACTTTTTGATCTTCAATCTACACCGAAAAGTGAGAATAATAAATCCATTTATCTATTATTAACAAAAGCCACACGGGCCTGAATTGAGTTCAGTATCTAATCCATATGCAGAAATTTTTCTATCATGAGGTGGTTCGATGACGACAACCCATTTTAAAATTTGTTTTTCAGGATCTTTGATACAAAATTCATCTTTACTCTCAATATGATGTTTGAAATAACAGGTGTCATACTCAGCATGCCATTCACCGTTTTGAACAAATGGCTGTAGCACAGGTTCAACATTGTTGTTCGAGCGTGAACGAATTGAATCTTCGTCTACTTCGAACACTTTACCCATCGATATTTTGGCAACGAACCAAGCACCGATCTGATCTGCTTTACCAATTTTACTCAAAGTTGCGTCAGTGGATCGAGCAAAGTACGCACCAGGTCCCAACATGCCCTTTAGACTACCTCTGAACTCACTCTTGGCAATACTAACAGCTGCTTGAGGTGTTGTTCGATGAAAACCGATATAAATTGGATATTTATTCGACCATCTTGGTTGTGGTTTGTACTCCGTCGAGTGGAACATAACAACATGCTCTAATTCTCGTCCTTGGCAACGATTACCGTATTTGCATTTTCTGTTACCAAACGCAGTCGTTCGAAAACGTTCGGTAAGTACGTATGGAATATATCGCTTATGCTTATGAGACAATGGTTTTTTAGCAATATCTGGCGATATATCAACATCTGGTTTGTATGCCCACCATACTCGATAGTGATAGATATCAAGTATAATTGTTAAAAATGGAAATATTAAGGAAGCTGCAGTAATAATTAGCAACGCTTGTAAAACGGTTCTGTCAGAAGATGTTAATGACTCAGTCATTATTAGTCCGTACATGATCACACCAGCTATCCGAAGTGCAATACAAATTATATGAAAGCCGATTCGAACTGTGAATCTTAATTTTGGTCGAGGTATATAGCATGGGCAAGTACAGTTTAAGACTACAAATCTGAGAAATGGACGTCGCCAATTCTTTTTCACAACACAGATGCAACAAACAAACATGGAAAGGAGTACAATGAGTCCAGTAAAGACGGGTACAATAGAGCCTATGAAAGCTAGGTACACAGCAATTAAGAGCTTTGTCATTCCTACTAATGAAACAGTTGTAGTTGCTGTCGATGTTCCTGGTGTTGTTGTGACTGTATTTCCATCGGATGATGGCCAGTTTCCTGTCAGTGCAAATAACACCACAATGGCAGAAATGAACTCGAGAATGCAAATGAAAGCATAAAAATATGGTAATGCACGATAAAAAGTAGCACCACACATGACGATGAAATAATTATTAATTAATTAAAAACGAAATCTAGAAAACGATATAGTCGTTACATTTTTTACTAGATTCCATTTCCTAAGTGAGCAAAAGATGGCTCAAACATCTAGACATTGTCTCAGAAAATAAAATGCAACTTCTGTATTCAAAGTAGCAAGTGGTTACGTGGCACTGTAAGCGATGAGGAGTAGCAGGATCAGTTAATACACACGGCAATTAAGGAAAAGTAGTTAACAGATTTAACGATGAAGATATGTTCTTATTGTTATCTATATATATCCCCCCCAGCAAAAAATAGTTAGACTCTGTATTTCGAATATATTTCCACCACAAGGCCACACTTTTTTGAAAGTAATTATATATTCTGAAAGCCCGTGGAGTTTTCTGCCACTCTGTATAATTAGGTTTTAGCTTCGATCTATTCATTATCAAAATAAATTGAGGGCAATGAAGGCATCCTTATCCAGATTCCCAGAAACTTGATTTTGTCACTGTCGTCAAAATTACTTTTTTAAAATTTTCCATGACTATAAAATCATCGTTTGAAAAAAGTAATTATATATTCTGTATATTCTGATACAGCTTGAAATTCTCTATCATCCTGCATATTTACTTATTTTCTTATATTCATTTATTAAAAAAGAATTTGAGTAAAATGAATCCATCCTTCATCGACAAGTATCAAAAATCGTTACTTTTCTTTTTTTTCTAAATATAGTTATTATACGAATAAATTTTTTAAAAACTATTATAGATTCTGATAGACCTTGAAATTCTCTATCATCCTACATACTTCTGTCTTGTCTCGCATTTATGTGCTGAATTAGTAGCGTAAGCAAGGGTGGGCTAGACCGGGCGCTGCCCGGCCACCGAGAAAAAATAAAAACCTAATAATTACTATTAAAACGTTTACCTTTTCTTCTTGTATAAAGTTTTATCATTAAAGCAAGCGTTTCCAAGCATTCTATCACTTCTTAGCGATGCAATGACAATTCCAGTACCATCAACCAAAATGGTAAGAAATTTTAGTAAAATGAAGCTCATTAAAACTGTTGCACGTAACAGTATGTCCAACAATAAATTCAGTGATTTATCATTACTAGCAATTTAGAGAGATTTTTGTATTGATTATTAAAAGTAATTTATGTATTTGCTATTCCGTATAAGAATAACCGAATAATACTGGAAGAGCTGTTGTTTGTTTACTGTTTTTTCTTTCTTTTCTTTTTTGTTGCTTAACTTTACTTAATAAAATAACAGATACATCGTTTTATCTCTCGCTTTAGGAAAGTGAAAATTGAGAGACTTAATTGAGCCTCAGAAAAAAACTTAACTGTTATTACAGAAATTTTTAAAAGCTGTGGGGCACCGCCCGGCCACCCATGATTTCCTGATTACGCCACTAATATCGCATATAGACGAAGAACATTCTTCTTCTATGTAGCTAATTGGTACAAGATATCGTCTTAGTGTTGGTACAAATTCTTTTATTATTCGGAATATAAACTATGCAAAAGATCGTGCAAAAAAGGAGTAGATCGTTCTTATCCATCTATTACTGGAAAGACACGATCTTAGTGCTCAACGTATGTAATGTAGATTTACGCCATATGACTTACAAAATTATGTAAAATCGCTGAGACATGTTTACTAAAGATTTTTGAAACCTTAGCACTCTTTTTCCGAGGCACAGCTAATGATATTTTTTTATACATACAAACATATTTCAGCTAATTGTTCCTATTTCACAGAATATAAATATTACGTCGCCAAAAGATATTTGACGGATCTTCCGTGTTACTAAATATTTTATAATCGAACATTCGTCTATTTAAACTGAAATAGTATTAGAACATCTACAATGGCAGTAAGATTGGCTTATATGAGCTCGTCAGATCGTAATAAATTGTTGATAACAAATAGTCTACGAAAGTTATTTCAAAATAAGTTGAATGACCTCGAATGAAAACCGTTCGATTTTAGCGAACCGTAAAAGACACTATTATGTTCGCTCTCTTTTTTTCTTGAACACGAATGGAAGAAGATATTTTCTCTTCTTTCGTGTAATACAGACGGACGAACATATTTATATTTTTTGTAATAAAAGGAAAAAAGAAGAAGCAGAATGATAAAAAGACATCTATTAATAAAATCGTCAGTGTGCAGTCCACAAGAAAATAACAATGTTTCATTCGTCTAAAGTGTATTTAGTCAAATCGACAGGTGTTTTTCATAATTCACACATCTAACTTTATGAAACTAAAAGGCATCAATAAAAACTTCTAATTTTTAGTAATAATTTTCTAATAAGTTGATGGAACGGAATATGATGTTTCTTGTTATGCAGTGTAAGATGCATAAAGCGAATACTCTTCGGCCTCAGACAGACAGAAAAAATGAATTGACTTAAAGTAGAATTAAGCAACCCGATTGGTCTATTCCAACTTAAATCATCTATTCTAGATATTATTTATTAAATTCATATTCTGTTCAGATTTATTTCTCGTTTAATAATATTCCCAATTATTAGTGACCTAGTTGACTTAGAAAAGTTTCATTTCGAAATAAAAAAGAGTTAAGGATAAAAGCCACCTGTTTTCCGTTTGTTTTCGGTTAAATTTCGGTTGATATCTGAATTATTATAGGGGCAAATATAAACTAATATCTAAAAATATGGCAATCTATATCTAATTTCAAAAAACATTTATATCTAATATTGGATGAATTTATATCTAATTAAGAAAATAATACATCTAATTTTAAAATTTATTTATATCTAATTTATTAAGTAACACTACCTAACAACACAAAGTTATATCAAATTAATAATTAAAGTAGCAGAAAAAAATAAAGATACAATTATCAATTATAACAAAAAAACACAGCAAAAAAATAAAACTATTGCACAATTAAAGCTTTTTTAGCTTTAGCAACACGGCCTCTTTTTCTTTTTTGTCCCAATGGAATATTTTTAGCTTCCAATGGGATGCTGCATAATTTGTATCGTACTGCTAAGCCTATAGTGTGTTTACAAATATAATACTTTAAACAAGCTGGACAAGAACATGTACTTTTTGTCCAATTTTCACTTTCATTTAAAAATTCACATTCCCAAAATGATAATTGTTCATTTTTCATAATATCAANTAGTTTAAAAGGCAAATATATGAAAGCAATCAATAAAGTAGCACAATTTTTGAAAAACTCGATATTATTTAATTGATTCGACGTTTCTATCTTCTATGAATAGTACTCAACTTCATAGTACAAGTTCGTGGTATTCTGGAAAATGATTTTTTAGAAGATCAAAATGTCGAATTAATTCAATTATACCGGGTTTTCCAAAATTTTGCGACTTTATTCATTATATTCACTTATTGCTCCATTTTTTTGATAAAATTATGTTTACACAATCAGCAATGACTTCTGAACACAGTACAGTATTTTATCTGTTGCCCACATAAAGAAAATGTTTGGCTCTGATCTTTGGCGAACTTTTAAAATTTTTTTTTCAAAAGCGTTTACATGATAGGTACGTTATCGACGCTATGCATTGGAAATATCATAATTATTTTGGTTTAAAATACTCTAGGTTGTCAAAGAAGGATCATAATGAATTAATTTTTAAGATACATTTCTGTGCTTTTATTTGTAAACAGTTTGGATTCTTAAAATTGTTTTGATAAATAAAATTGCTTAAGGAGGAACCCCCTCCGAAAGTTGATTTTTCTTGAAAAACTCGATTTTTGAACAAACACATATTCTAGTAGCCCTGGGTGTCCTCTTTCAGAATATGTATAAATTATATAAGAGTGGAACATATTTTGCCAAATTCTGGGGGGTCTATTGGAAGTCATAGTGGAAAATCGACTGTTTTGCAGATTAAATCACTCCGTCGTTCATATCTTGTCCGTAAATTGGGAAATTTTAATGATTATTTGGATAAACAAAACCAAATACATGTTTCTAGTAGTAGTTTTCGATAAATTTTTGCTTGTTTTGTTTTGTAATGCTATGACAGAAACAGAATCTATAAAATATGATCATTACAATAGTCATTTAAATGCAATTTTCTTAACAACATTTCATTCGATTTACCGGAAGTGTTTATAAAATGAATCTTAATTTTAAGAAGTAACAGTCGATCAGCAGATAGAAAACAGCGACTGACTATCTCAAGTAAGACTGAATGTAAGTCAGATACTACTTTGGTCTTCTCTCCACGTTAAAATCACGCCATAAAAAGCACCAAAAATTAAATTCTTATCTCCACAAAACATCAGATTATTCAGCAACCGATAGCCCTTATAATGATGTTACATTTTCAGGTAAATGACCACTTAATGGAACTGGCACAAACATCACAAGTAGCGCTCGTCTCTGCGACTCGCTTAACCCTCGACTGAATATTAGAGGACAAGCATGATGGAATTAGGAAAATATTTATATTCTAATGAGAGAAATTATTAAATTATAGTTTATTTTTGTACTATACTTTTGTGAAGTATAAGTCATATTTTAGGCATGACTATGGTGTAGCTGTATCTTCCCGTTATCTACACCGCCATCCACACCAACGTTCTATTTACATTTGATATCCGTAACTAGAGTATTTTCTTCTTGTTCTTTACTTGAACATAAAGACTCGTCTTTATGATCAAGGTTACTGATTCTTAACAACTAGGCAGTAGTATGTGGACTTCGGCTTACATGTACATAGAGAGTGCAGCTGCATCAAGAACATGTCCATGAACCGAACTAGACACACATTAACAATCCATCGACATCGTCACATGATATGCGCTGAGCACCGCCCACACCAACTGCATTCGATACCGCAATAGACAAACCACAGCCACTACCACACATACACATATGGTCGTACCATTTCACATCTTCACCATCAACCTGACATCTGTATGTCGCATTCGCAATATTATACCACACACCCAACCCCATGCTCTCAGCCAAATGCAATCACACTACGACGCACGAA